ATCACTCCGCCCCTCCTCCTGCTCTCCCCCCTCCTTCTCCCTGATCTCTCCTGGTCATTATATCATTCCTCTCTCTATCCCTCTCTCTCTCTCTCTCTCTCTCTCTCTCGTTATCGTCGTCCGTCTCTCTCTCTCTCTCTCTCTCTCTCTCTCTCTCTCTCTCTCTCTCCCTCTCCCTCTCTCTCTCTCACTATCTCCCTGTCTCTCTCTCTCTCTCTCTCTCCCTCTCTCTCTGCCCGCCCTTTCCTTCCCTATCCGCCCCGTCTTCCTCCTCTTCGCCCCGTCCCCCTCCTTCCACCGCCGTTTCGGCCCCAGGAGTTCGGCTGTGACGGCCGCCCCCCCTGCAACGCGGGGGCAGGGAGCGATGGCCGCGGCCGCCAGCGGCAGCAGCAGCCCATTGGGCCCCGCAGCAGCGGGGCCTCGGGGCCGACTGACGGCAGTGTTCACAGCGAAATCTGGGAAGGTTTGGCGACCTGTAGGTGGCCAGGCAGAACCCTGGAAGGGTCCTTGGGCCCTTGTGCCAGAGGGCACCCCCGCAGCAGCGGGGGCTGCGCCGCCTGGCGTCTCAAGCTCAGCAGCGGCGGCGCGATCAGAAGTTTCTACGATACGCACCCGCCCAGGCGACTCCGTGGTGGATCCGAGCGATGACGAAGAGCCTCAGGAATTTAGGGGCTGCAGGCCGCCCAACGACGTCGAGCGGCGCGAATGCCGTCTTCGCGACACCGTCCCGCCAAAGTTCTTCTGCGAAAGAAGAGCGGCTGACGTGAACAGGCCACGGAACGACAACGTGGGCAACCTTTTTTTTTTTTTTTTTTTTTTTTTTTTTTTTTCTTTTTATGTTTTTTTTTTTTTTTTTTTTTTTTTTTTTTTATTTTTTTTTTTTGCTTTTTTTTTTTCTTTTTTTTTTTTTTTTTTTTTTTTTTTGTTTTTTTTTTTTTTTTTTTTTTTTTTTTTTTTTTTTTTTTTTTGTTTTTTTTTTTTTTTTTTTTTTGTTTTTTGTGTCCTGGCTCCGTCCTGTTCTGGGAACTCCGGGTCCCATGACGAGCGAGACCAACCACGCGACCCAGCGGCGGAGAACTTGAGAGGCAGCCTTTTTTACCTTCATGCTTTATGCCCCCCATTTCCACTTACTTTTATTGTTTTTGCGGGAATGCAACTTGTGTTGTTTTGTTTGTTTGTGTTTTGTTTTTTTGTATCTTTTGATTGTTGTTTTTTGTTTTTTTTTTTGGGTGTGATGTTCCTGCTCTCGTGGAGTGCTTTGCGGAATGTGAGGAGCAGATGGAGGCAATCCTACAGCGGCCAGGGAAACCACCGCCGCTGCAGGCGGACGCCCCCGCAGCAGCGGGGGCGTCAGCAGCGGAGGGCCAAAGCAGCAGCAGCGGTGGGCCTTTTGTCGCCCCCGCAGCAGCGATGGCGACAGTAAGAGGAAGTCGTGCTGCGAGTGTGGGCGATTGCCAACAGCTCCAGAATCGACCAGAGTACGAATACTTGACCCTGCGCGGGCGTGAGGACAAGTCCTTGTGCATCGCTGCGCGCGCAAATCTGTGTTTCGAAATGCGGCTGCTCCACTGGGAAAGGAGTGTCGACGGCCACTACAGAACAGCAAGAGGGCGCAAGATGGAAGCGTTCTCGAGGATCATGGTGGTTGAGCTCTACTTCGATCAAACCTACGCCCACTTCGGCTCGAAAGTGCGGGTGCGCGCGGTGCACCTCCACCGCGACACGGCGAAAAAATCCAGAGGCTTTAACGAGGCTCACAAGACGTGGTGGCCGAGGTTGGCGACCATCTTGCAGGACAACAGCGTTGACATCCTTTGTGGGGATTTCAACATGGCGCTCACACAGACGCTGCCGAGTCTTCGGGGTCTAGGCGAAAAATTCCAGAGGCTTCAACGAGGCTCACAAGACGTGGTGGCCGAGGTTGGCGACCATCTTGCAGGACAACAGCGTTGACATCCTTTGTGGGGATTTCAACATGGCGCTCACACAGACGCTGCCGAGTCTTCGGGGTCTAGGCATGCGAATGGAGACGGCAGCAGCGTACTTCTGGCGCGGATTGGACGGCACTCCGTGCTTGGACAGCTGCGGCATCTTCGTTCTCAACAGGCCTGGCGAGTACACCCTGTGCTGGCCGCTGAGCGCCGTGCGCGACAGAGACGAGACGGGGTTGCTCTTCGCACGCAAGTCGGTGATCGGTGAGATCGGGTACCGTAACAGAAGCAAGGCAGAGGCCCCCGCAGCAGCGGGGGCCTCCACCGGCCCATCATCGGAGCCGACGTACTGGCACCACAGCCAGAACGGAGGCCTTGGGATGCCTTACTCTTGCTACTACCAGAAAAAAGACGCCCGCGAGCACCTCCAGGATTTACTGACTCAGTCAGAGGAATGCCAACGCAAGATCCAAGAGAAGGAGCGTGAGAAACTGAGGCGCGCCGAGGCTGAGGCTAGAGGGGACCGCCGCTTCTCTAGTAATCGCGAGGTGACCCTCTTCCGCGCGTTGCAGAAGACGCTCCCGCCAGAGACCGTGGAGGTGGAGGGGCGCTGGCACGGCGGCGCCCACTACCCTCTCCTGTTCCAAATGCGCATGGCCAGCGTGCGTTCGCAGGGGAGGAAGCAGGAGAGAGCCAAAGAGAAGAAGGACAGGCGCGCCCAGAAACAGCTGGCAGCTGCGCCCAGGGCGCCGCTGCCGCCCGAGCAGCACGGACCCGAGCGCCAGGCACCAGAGCAGCACAGCGAGAGGGACGAGCAAGACGAGCGCGCCCAACAGGCGTGGCGCCCACCAAGATGGGCAGTCGAAAGCGCGGACGACGGCCGCGACATGCCCGCGGCTGGCGATGGAAGGTCGCGGCGGGGGGTTGAAAGGGGGAGGGGGGGAGAGGGGCGGTGGAGCACGGGGAGGGCAGGAGGGAGGAGAGGGAATGAGGAATAGGCTGAGCAGGACGAGGGATGACATAAGGAAATGAGTGTCGGGAAGGGGCGGGGGTTGACAGGGAGGGGATATAGAAATAATTATTTATCACCCCCCAGGTGGCAGCCGACCCCGCAGTGCCCATCTCCAGGGCCTGCGCCGCTGGAGCAGCGAGGGCAGCGCGGCGCCGCCATCTACATCTCGGACGCGATCGCTGCCCTCGGCCACGAGCCGCCAGAGCCCCCGCAGCAGCGGAGGCCACAAACGCCACGGCAGCAACCACCAGACGAGGAGCGGCGCAGGGATGAGTGGTGGCGCGCCAAGGAGGGCGAGGAGCGCGAGTGGCAACAGCCGAGCGGCGAGGCTTCCTCGCTGCAGGACCGCATGGTCGTCTCCGCCTGGCGCGACATGCAAGTTGCATTCGGCAGCGACCAACGCCCCAGTGACTGGTGGAGCAGCCACAGTGGGTGGAGTAGCGGCCAGGGGCACTGGGAGGTCGCGACCACGACTTGGAGGTGGGTCGAACCCCCCCCCGAAACCAATACCTGGGAAAAGCTTAGTTGAACCATCGCACAGGAGCCGCCCCTCCGCAGCAGCGGAGGGAGGCCTCATCGGCCGAACGTCGACCCTCCGCAGCAGCGAAGGCCTTGCCAATGCATCGCGAGCGGCGGCGACTCGCGCGCGCCGTCGTGCTCGGCGACCGCTGCCCGAGCGGAGAAGGACAAAGAAACGGCGCTTTCATCGGTGCTGTCGTTGCCTCCTCTCCTTCATCGTTTTCTTCTCCCTCCCCCTCCAATCCCCCGTCCCGCTATCACATTTTATCGTCTCCAATCGTATCGGGAGCTCCCGTGGCAGAAGAGCACCCAGAACGAGGTCCTCCGTGACAGAGGGGGGGGCATTTCAGACCCCCTCTGTGACAGAGGGGGGGCATATTTGACCCCCTCTGTGACAGAGGGGGGGCCAAAAAACAAATGATCACTTTAATGCGGCTTCTGGATTAGGACGGGGGAGAAGGGAGGATGGGAAGGATTTCCGCCATCTCCTCCTCAACCTCCTCCTGCTCCTCATCCTCCTCGTCCGTCTCCTCCTCCCCTTCCTACCTGTGGTAGTGGTTGTGGAACATCGGCCCAACACGAAATGTCAGTTCGTGCTCCCCCTCGTGGGGCCACTCGGGGGCCTCCTAGGTCATTTCCGGCGCTTGGAAGCCGTCATGGGGCGGCATTGAAGGCTTGCTCGGCCGCCATGGGGAGTTCCTGATACCGGAAAGGCGAGAAGGTTAAACTCGTTTGAAATCTACACAAGTGTTCAAACCATTTCGGGATCTCAGGGCGTCGGGGCCACGCTCCCGAGGCCCCTGAAAATGCGGGCTGCCCCGAGAGCGCTCAGGAGCATCCAAACCCGCCCGCAAAGCTGAGGCCAGAGCCCCTGAAAGAGCACTTACGATATGCAGAGAACTCGGATGGACCTGAGGACACTCCACTCCGTGCCTCGCGTCAGGGTGGTGGACCTCACACGGAGCCCTGCGCCCCAGTTTTGCGTCCGACGCGATGGACGAGGAGGATGATCAGCATCAGCTAATTAGCCGACGACCTCGAACTCAAGGAGGACACCGTTCGGGACAGCGAGAGCGAGGAGGAAGAGGGGGAGGGGGAGGAGGAGGAGGAGGAGGAGGAGGAGGAGGAGGAGGAGGAGGAGGAGGAGGAGGAGGAGTAGGAGGAGGGTGCGGCGGAGGCCGGAAGGAGGATGAGGAGGAGGAGGAGGAGGAGGAGGAGGCGGAGGCGGAGGAGGAGGCGAGAGGGCGGACAGGGGGGGCGAGAGCGAGAGCTCTTCCACGATGAGGAAGAGGGGGAGGAGGATGAGGAGGAGGAGAAGGAGGAGGAGGAGGAGGAGGAGGAGAGGGAGGCGGAGGCGGAGGAGGAGGAGGAGGAGGAGGAGGCGGAGGCGGAGGAGGAGGCGAGAGGGCGGACAGGGGGGGGCGTGGCGGAGGACGAGGAACGATGCAGGACGTTTTTTTTTGGACAGGCAGAGAGAGAAAGAGAGAGAGCGAGAGCTGCAGCGGAGCAATCGGCGGCCGTGCCAGTTGTCGGACGAGATGGACCACGTGCTCACGCTGGCCCTCGGAGAGCAGGACACGGACCAGAGGCCGTCGTCTCTCCGCCCATCCCCCGCGGCCCTCTTCGTTTGCGGCCCGTCCGTGCTGTTCATTAGTAGTGGTGTGCTTCCTTGTTCCTCCTTGATGTTCGTGCCGCCCTCCTCGCTGATCGCTTGCTTCTGTGCTTTCCTACAGTCGGGTCCCTGAAGAAGGAACTCTTTTCCGTTGGGGAGGGGCTCCGTTTTCCTTAGTTGTTTCACAGCTTGCCTCAGGGTTTCCTTATGTTTTCGATGGGGAATCGAAGTTCGACTTATGGAATAAGGGGGCCTCGTTCCTTATTTTGGGTTCCTTAGGTCAACGCCCCGACTGTAGTTCCTTCCCCGTCCCTCGGCTGCCACGCCCGATCGTCGGCCTGTCCCTCCGCCGTCTCGCCGTCGTGGCTCGGCTGCTGGTTCGCTGGCCTTATGTTATATGCACTCTCGGAAGGTCATCGCCACGGATGCGGGCCAATATCTTTCTCGCCCTCCCTCGCCCTCCTTCGCCCTCCCTCGCCACCGTCCGCCTCCCTCGCCCTCTCATCGTTCGTATCCTCCAGTCTGGGCCTTGAAGCTGTGAGGCAGCAGTGCGTGGCACGCCGCCCTCCACCGTGCACGCCTGGAGACAACCGTGCGGGGCTGTCGTCTCGCCTCGATTGTGCACCTCGCATTGTAATATCAAGGCCGCGCAGTGGCACAAGTCACAGAGATGGTAGACAGACCGTTGGCCATCATGCGATCAGGCGTACACAGACGGCGGTGAACGAGGAAGCTGCTGCCTCGTTCTAGCCTCTGCCGCTTTCGTACGTTGCGACCTGCTGTCTTTCTGGAGCCCCAGATCAGGCCTGCAATTTCTTACCTCGCTGTTTTTTTGTCTTAGTGATCGTGGGTGCACATTGTTTGAGCTATTACGTCTCTCGCACAACTGTGTTCCAGAGCGGCCCCAGCCGCTTCGCGCTCTATGGCTCCAGAACTCTTCAGCCTCTTGCGCGACTGCGCACTAAGGAGCTCGTACCCCGTTGCTTGCGTTCGGTGTCCTTCGTCCTGACATCCCCCCACTGCCCCTGGCCTCCCCCCCGACCGTTGCCCTCTCTGCCCTAGGATCCCCTGAGGCTCGGGCTCGAGCTTGGGCTAGGGCTTGGGCTTGGGCAGAGAGGACGAGAGAGAGAGAGAGGAGACGAGAGAGGGGAGGACGAGAGGGAGAGAACGAGAGAGAGAGAGAGATGGAGAGGGCAAGTGGGAGAGGACGAGAGGGGGATGACGAGAGGGAGATGACGAGAGGACGAGAGGACGAGACGAAGGGGCAGAGAGGACTCCGGCTCGCGCTCGGGCCCGGGCTCGGGCTGGGGCTCTCGGGGTTGGGCTGCGGCTCGGGCTCCGCCTCGGGCCCGGGCCCGGGCCCGGGCTCGGGCTCGGGCTCGGGCTCGGGCTCGTCGGGCTCGGGCTCCAGCTCGGTCGAGGGCCCCGCCCCCCACGCCTGGCATGCCCGCTCCACCCTGGACCGGGGCCGCTCACCCCTTCCCCTGGCATCGCTCGGGCGTGTGCATTTTTTTCTCGGCGAGGGCCATCGAGGAGCATCCGTTGATCATTTGGCGAAAAAGCCACGCACGAAACCGAAAAACCACAGGGAAGGGACGTCCGAGCGATGGCCAGTTCCTGCCCCGCCTGTCCCTCGCCGCCCCCGCGTGCACGAGCCAGAGCGCGCGAGCCGCTCGTCGGCAGCTCCCGGCGTGAGGGCCGCAGCCTGGAGTCACCGCAGGGGCGGTGGCCTCTCGTCCAGCTTGGCGCAGCGTCTTTCAGGAGCGAAAGAAGGACGTACATGTATATGAATCCACGCTGGTTTCGAGAGTACGCATTGCGCAAATGTTCGTATAACGCGGCCGGTCTCGCGGATCGAGGGGCCGTGTTCATGTACATAGCTGGGCGCGTACGTCCTTTGTGGGCTCCCTAGTCTTTCCACCCAGTCTGTTTCGTGCACTGGATCCCCCTGCAGTGCAGCCGGTCTCTCACTAAGCGCGGGCGTCCGATACTCCGATACTGCGCCCAACACGGTGGAGCGGGAGACCACTCGGACAGTATCAGCGGCGTCGCATGAGGGTGCCGTTCCGCGAGCTGCTGCCCACTCAGGCCCAGCCGTCGCTTGCCCGCCATGCGAAAGCGTGTGAACCCAAGACTGTCTGCAGTGGCACTTCGCTCGGCTTCCTGGGGCAAGGGTGCGGCGTGCCTCTTGTCCCCGTCTCTCATATCCGTCATGACGGAAGCGGGTCCTTCAGGAAAGGGGGATAGCGTTTCTTTTCTCACCGTTTTCGGTCTTCGTGGGCCCCCACCCCCGTCCCCAGGATTGCCAGAACACGGCTCGAGATGAAGATTTGGTCCTGGGGGGAGGCCGTAGGGTCCAGGTTCCGTGTCCGACGGGACCCGCGTCCCCCACGCTGATTCTGTCTATCCGTCTTGTGCGGGTTTGCCCCCCGCTCGCCGCGTCCTAGCCCCGGCGGGTCGGGGCAAGATTCGGCGACCCCCCCCCAGCACCACGGTCGCCCCAACGAAGGAGGAGCAGCATGAGGATCACGCAGTCCAGGAGCCCGTTTCTTAATTCCGGGCCGATGTCGGCCGTCATTTGGGGGGGGGATGGAGGGGGCCGGTGACCCTCACGTTTCGCGCCAGCAGCGTTTGGGAATGCCTCGGAATGTCCGAGGTCGGGTAGCAGCAGCATGTCGGTGGCGATCTGCACCACAGCGCCTGTGTACACCACAGTGCACGCGTGCACCACAGCGACTGTGTACACTACGCCGCCCATGTACACCACGGCAGCCGCGTGCAACACAGCGCCAGTGTGTGCCAGATTCCCAGCGTGCACAGCGCCTGCGTACACCACAGCAGCCGTGAGCAACCTAACACAAGTGTACACCACAGTGCTCGCGTGCACCACAGCGCCTGTGTACACCACGGCGCCCGTGTGCACCACAGCATCTGTGTGCAAATCACCATTATTGCATAGAGACTGTCAGAGATAATCTTTATGCGAAAATGAAGCGCCTATGGAATTTATAAATTACCCTGTGACGTACCCAACCCATTTGTATCATGGGAAACGAGGAGTTGGCCGAAACTTGCACGGACAATCGAATTGCAGGATCCGTTCTTTGATCTGTAAGCTACTTGGGACACGCGCCAATGGACTGATGCGCAGGACAACCATACAAGAACGAGGGGCGACAACTACAGGCTCGAAGAGGACATGGGGAGTCGGGAACGAAGAGCAGGAGAAAGACGTGCGGGAAGCCCACAGTGCTGGGCCCCCCAGCAGGCCTCGAAAGTGGCGACAGTTTCACAGATCGCAGCCCCCCAGGGATGGCGAGGTCCCATATGAATCCGCCGTGGGTGCCCACTGTGCGGGGGCCCCCCAGCAGCCCTCGAAAGTGGCGATAGTTTCACAGATCGCAGCCCCCCAGGGATGGCGAGGTCCCATTTGAATCCGCCGTGGGTGCCCATTGTGCTGGGCCCCCCAACAGGCCTCGAAAGGGTCGCGACAGTTTCACAGATCGCAGCCCCCCAGGGATGGGGAGGTATCATTTGGATCCGCCGTGGGTACCCACTGTGCTGGTCCCCCCAGCAGCCTTCGAAAGTGGCGACAGTTTCACAGATCGCAGCCCCCCAGGGATGGCGAGGTCCCATTTGGATCCGCCGTGGGTACCCACTGTGCTGGGCCCCCCAGCAGCCTCGAAAGTGGCGACAGTTTCACAGATCGCAGCCCCCCAGGGATGGCGAGGTTTGAATCCGCCGTGGGTGCCCACTGTGCTGGGCCCCCCAGCAGCCTCGAAAGTGGCGACAGTTTCACAGATCGCAGCCCCCCAGGGATGGCGAGGTCCCATTTGAATCCGCCGCGGGTGCGCACTGGCTGGGCCCCCCAGCAGCCCTCGAAAGTGGCGACAGTTTCACATATCGCAGCCCCCCAGGGATGGCGAGGTCCCATTTGAATCCGCCGTGGGTGCCCATTGCGCTGGGCCCCCCAGCAGCCCTCGAAAGTGGCGACAGTTTCACAAGTCGCAGCCCCCAGCAGCCCTCGAAACGCAGCGACGAGCCAGGTAAAAGGCGGGGGGAAAGAGAGGGACGGGAGGGGGTGGGAAGGTTCGCGCGAGCAGTGCTGTCTTCAAAACGAGAACCCAACGCAGGAGGGTTGGGAAAAAAAACAGGGTTTCCCATAGGATTTGAAAAAGGAAGAGCACCACTGGAATCTACGACTCATCCCGTATCCTTCCGCATCATCATAATTCCTCCCATTTGCGTCCACGAGGCTCCCGCCGAATCGACCATTTTGCGGTGCACACTGAGGTGCGCGCGTGTGCGCTGCAGCGCCGACCTGCACGACGGGGGGGAAGGCGCGGGAGGAGGACGACGAGGAAGAGGATGAGGAGGAGGAGGAGGACGAGGAGCACGAGGAAGACGAGGAGTTGGATGAAGAGGGGGGAGGTAGGAACATCGCATTATATGATCGCCGCCCGCAGCAGATCCTCGCCGACATGCGCTTTCTACTTGTCCTGTGCACGCAGGCGCTGTGGTTTTATACCAGCGTGCGTTGAACGCGGACGCTATGGTGTACGCGGGCGTTCTGGTGCGAATTGGCGGTGCGGTGCGCCGAAGCACTGTGGTGTACACAGTCGTTGCGCTGCACATGGCCGCGACGGTGTGCACATCTCGCCGTGGTGTGCACGGGCTCTGTGGGGCACGCGGGCACTGTGGCGCACACGGGCGCTGTGCGGCACGTGGCTGCTGCGGCGTGCACATCCGCTGTGGTGTACACAAGCGCTGTGGGGCGCGCAACAAAAAAGTCTGAGTGCAATTCTGGGTATGAGTAAGTCTGGGTGCGAGTCAGTCTGTGCATGAGTAAGTCTGGATATGAGGAGGAGAGGGGAGGAGAAGGAGAAGAAGGAGGAGAAGTCGGAGGCGTCCAAGAAGTAACAAGAACCCCATCTTAGGATATGGGGAAAACAGCTTCCTGCAATGATGCCTCAGTCCAGCACGCGGGATATCACGGCTGGCCGCCGGCCAGTCGATCCGAGGTGGCATCTCTCCCTCCCCCACCCCCTGCGGCCCTCCTCCAGGCGCATCGCGAAGCTGTGGGGCAAGTACAATCCCCGAGGCAAGTATTTTCGGACAGGAGTCGCGCGGCCCCCCGCCCTCCGGGCGAGGCAGGGATGCATCCGCGTGAGCTGCGGTGAAGGGTAGGGGGCTGGAGGATGGGCAGGACGGGCAAGGCGAGCACGGCCTGCAATGGGGAGGAGGGAGGCGTACAGGATGGAGAAGAGGAGAGGAGAGGAGGAGGAGAAGGAGGAGGAGGAAGAGGAGGAGGGAAAGGAGGAGGAGGAGGAAGGGAGGGGGAGGAGGAGGATGAGGAGGAGGGGGAGGAGGGGGAGGGGGAGGAGGAAGGAGAAAGGAGGAGGACGAAGAGGAGGAGAAGGAGGAGGACCAGTTAAAACCCTCCTCCAGGACAGTGTAAACCCTCCCTCCATTAACGATGTTGGAATACACCCTCCCTCCAGGCTCCCTTTCCATAGGTCCCCAAAAGGGGTTCATCCCCACTGAAAGAGTACCCCGTTGGGGGACAACCGTGTTTACGCGTGCCAGAACACCGTTATCAGGACAGCGTGCAAACTCCAACGGGAGGTTTTGCGGAGAAGTGGTAAACCCTTTCCCCGAAGGGGGGAACGGGGTTGAAATATCCAACTCTTTAGATTGTCTGCGACCAGAAAGACTGAACAATGATAGGACGGGGGGAAAGAAGCATGAGCTGGGTAATGAGCAGGGAGAGTTGTTGGAGGGCGGCAAACACGGAAGTGGAAACAGCAGAGGATTTCCAGGGAAAGGGGCGAGAGGGGAATTGTGAGAGTTCGGTGAGGGGTATGTAGGGGGGAGGTGGATGGGCGTCGGGGGGCCGGAGGGCAGGAAGGAACGGGAGGGCGGAGTCGAAGAGGCTTGGACAGAGGTTTTTTATGGTGAGGAGTCCCTCGGGGAGGAGGCACGATGGACGGAGAGGATGCCTGGCAGTCGCGCGTGAGGAAGACGGATGGGGAACCCAGGGTCGGGCCGGGCGAAAGGGGGGGATCGAAATTTGCTGCATGCAGCTGGTTTCGGCCCACCGAGGGGCCCATTCCTCGATACATAGCCGCCTCGGGCGCTGGGAGGCGCCGGGAAAATCAGCTACGTGAGCTGATTCTCAAACCCCCTCTTTGCTATCCCCCCCTTTCGCCCGACGCGACAGGGGCCCGCCGAAGGACACCGGCCCGCGTTCTTCAAGAGGCTCGCGTTCGCGCAGGAGGGCCGCCGCCTGTGGCGGCAGCCTGGTCTGCAGCCGGGGACAAGACAGAGTGGAGAGAGAGAGAGAGAGAGATCTATCTATATATATATATATATATATATATATATATATATATATATATAAGAGACAACTAGAGAGAGAAGCACATAAAATAGAGAAGGTGAGTGAGAGAGAATGAGGCACAGGAAGGAAGGGACAGAGAGGCAGAGAGACAGAGAGGGAGGGAGGGAGGAGGGAGGGAGTGCAAGGGAGAGTCATGGGCTGCACTCACCTCGTGTGCTCTTTTGCTGCCGCCACTGCCCTCCAATTGAGGGTTGGCGGCGCCAGATACAGTCAAACACCCGAATAAGGACGCGCGACTTTGCTCATGGTACCCTTGCGTCCTTGCTCTTCCTTGCTTTTGCGTCCTTGAGGTTTTCGTCGTCCGCCGCCCCAAAAATCCCAACTTCGGCTTCCAAGGGTCTTGCATCCTTACCGCGAGTCCTTATTAGGGTGTTTTTACTGTACTGTGATACGTTTCGGAATCTATTTGTGCTCAGAATAGCTCGGCGCGCGCGCCCTCCCCGTGCCCGGGCCGGGCGCTTCCGCCTGCCAGAGCATTGCCACAGCCCTCTTGCACGCTTGCCTGCCGGATGCGCCTGGCATGAGTAACCATGGCGTCACGCACGTCCCCCCATGTTGATCAAGGGACACATTTTCATGCGGTCAGCATTTCCATTCGTAGGATGAGGTGTTGCAGTTTCGGAGTTTTTTTGTTTTGGCCCACGGACTGTCCCAGACGTCGTCACACAGTCGGCGCGATTAAAAATGGCGTCACGCACGTCCCCACCGAGGCTGAACCCTGGACCACTACTGGAAGGATATCTTCGTGAGCACTCGGAGCAAGAGCCCATCAGTAGGATCCTTCAGTGCCCGAGTTCATGACACATTTGCAGAAAGCTAGTTGCCAGCCGAGCGGTTCACCATGAGATCGAGAAGCTGTGCTTAGTGCCCCGGAGGTGGATGTAGAAGATATCGAGGAGCAGTGGCAGAGCAAGTGGAAAGACTCCTGGGAGGGAATCTTGGGAAGTCTTAGGAATCATACGAAAGCCCAAATTTCTGGGAGGGAATCCCGGGGGATCCAAGGAATTCCTTGGGACCCTAGCAATGGCCACATTCCTTCGACGGAATCCCAGGTAATCCCAGGAATTCCTGGAGATCTTAGGAATCCTTCGGGATTCATAGGGATTGCATTCGGTGATTTCGGATTTGTAATTTGGTACTCTCGGCGGCGCGCGCGCCGAAACCTTTTTCCGAAACGCTGGGAATCGCCCCCCAGGAGTTCTAGAGCAGCGACCCCACTGCATGCCCGAAGGGGGCCCCAAGAGGTTCCCAGGAAATTCTGAGAGTGCCATAGGAAGCCCCGAAGACCCAAGAGAGCCCCCAGGCCACAAGCCGACTGAAGCCCCCCAAGATGGCCCGAGAGGCTCCGAGGACGGCCCGCGAGCCTCCCAAGAGAACCACCGGTGCGGCCTGAGGAGGCCCAAAGCTGTGATCTCCCTTCTGGTGTTCATTTTCGTTTGGGGGGTTCTCGCCTTTTCGGGCCCAGACGGGTCGAAGACGGCTCTGGGGGCCCTCCGAGGCTGCCACGAGGGCCAAAAGAGGGCCCCAGGAGGGCCCCAGGACGGAAAGCCACAGGACGGTTGGACAGGGGCACGAGGGCCCCCAAAAGGACCCATGAAAGTCTCAAGAGTGCTGCCGGAGACCCCAGGAAGGCCGAAGAGAACCTTCAGAGGGCCCCAAGACGGGCCAAGCCCCCCGAGACGGCCCATGAGGTCCCCAGAACGGCCCCAGAGAGCCCTAATGCACTCAAAACAGCTCCCAGAGGACCCCCCCTGGACGGCACAAGGACGGGCGCAGTTTTGACGCCAAGGCTCCCAAGAGCACCAGTTGACCGGAAAGCCCTTCACACACGAGTTGGTGACGTAAACATTTTTCCCCATATCCTAAGATGGGGTTCTTGTTATTCCCCTTATCCTAAGATGGGGTTCTTGTTATTACTTGGACGCCTCCTACTCCTCCTCCTTCCTCCTCCTCGTTTCTCCTCCCCTCCTGTCGGACTTACTCATACTCAGACTTGCTCATACACAGACTTACTCATACTCAGACTTACTCATACTCAGACCTACTCATACTCAGACTTACTCACACTCAGACATACTCATACACAGACTTTCTCATACACAGGCTTACTCACACCCAGACGTACTCATACACAGACTTACTCATACACTTACTCATACTCAGCATCCCTAAGGGGAGCCGCCAGGGGTGGTTGCACGGGCTCGTTCGCGGCCATGTTGTGGGGATGTCTCAGGCGGTTTGCCTGTTTCTGTGCCCAACATCCTTCGCTTTCGGAGCAGATTTGGAGGATGTCTCGAGCGAGGCGCTCATTTCAGCACCCCTAAGGGGAGCCGCCAGGGGTGGTTGCACGGGCTCGTTCGCGGCCATTTTGTGGGGATGTCTCAGGCGGTTTGCCTGTTTCTGTGCCCAACATCCTTCGCTTTCGGAGCAGATTTGGAGGATGTCTCGAGCGAGGCGCTCATTTTCAGCACCCCTAAGGGGAGCCGCCAGGGGTGGTTGCACGGGCTCGTTCGCGGCCATTTTGTGGGGATGTCTCAGGCGGTTTGCCTGTTTCTGTGCCCAACATCCTTCGCTTTCGGAGCAGATTTGGAGGATGTCTCGAGCGAGGCGCTCATTTCAGCACCCCTAAGGGGAGCCGCCAGGGGTGGTTGCACGGGCTCGTTCGCGGCCATTTTGTGGGGATGTCTCAGGCGGTTTGCTTGTTTCTGTGCCCAACATCCTTCGCTTTCGGAGCAGATTTGGAGGATGTCTCGAGCGAGGCGCTCATTTCAGCACCCCTAAGGGGAGCCGCCAGGGGTGGTTGCACGGGCTCGTTCGCGGCCATTTTGTGGGGATGTCTCAGGCGGTTTGCTTGTTTCTGGGCCCAACATCCTTCGCTTTCGGAGCAGATTTGGAGGATGTCTCGAGCGAGGCGCTCATTTTCACCCCCCAGGTGGGCCAGATTTTGAGGATGTCTCGATCGGTTTGCTTGTTTTGGTGGCCAGGCTCGTGGGCGCAGATTCTTCTCAGGATGCCACAGGAGGCTCCAACAGGCTCCAGGAGGCCCCAGGAGACCACATGAGGTCCCAGGAGGCATCAGGAGGCCACAGAAAGACTCAAGAGGCCACAGGATGTCCCAAGAGGCTCCAGGAGGCCCCAGGAAGCTCCAGAAGGCCTCAGGAAACCACAGGAGGCCCCAGGAGGCAACAGGAAGCGCCAGGAGGCCTCGGAAGGCAACAGGAGGCCCCGAGAGGCCCCAGGAGCAGGAGGCCTCAGAAGGCAACAGGAGTGGCTCCAATCCCATGTGTGTTACGTATGCTCCTATCGATTGGGCCTCACCTGGAGCACGATTCTTTGATGTTCTACGTATGTTTCTATAGATGGTCCTTCTCCTGTGTACACAATCCTAAATGTTTTACTCATGTTCCTATGTATTGGGCCTCTCCTGGGGCACGAGTCCTTGGTGTTTTACGCGTGTTCCTATAGATTGCCCTTCTCCTGTGGCTCTAATCCCCCGTAGCCATTTTGGCTCAAGCCATTTTGGCTCAAGCCATTTTGGCTCAAGCCGATCCCTGTTCTGCTCGCTCTCGTTTTGGGCTCTAATCCGTAGCCATTTTGGCTCAAGCCATTTTGGCTCAAGCCAGGCTCAGCCGATCCCTGTTCTGCTCGCTCTCGTTTTGGGCCCCGCGGGAGGCCGCAGAGTTCGGGCGCTTGGGGAGATGGCTACGGTCGGCTGCCAAGCTGCCCCTGTGGCGGCCGAGCAGCCTCGGCAGGCGGGAGGGGCCGCGGCTTCTCTCTGGCCTGCGCGCCGCGCCCGCCAGTGCGCTGCGCGCAGTGCGGCCCACGGGAAGCTGACGGCTGCCTTGGCGAGAGTCGCCACGCTCGAGGCCGAGCTCGCCGACTGCCGCGCGGTGCGCGGAGAGGCGGCGGCGCAGGCCGTGCGGATCGCGGCTCTTCCGCTCGGCAGCCAGCAGGTCCCCGACGACGTCCTGGTCCAGGAGCTCGCTTCGCGGCTGGCCCTGGCCGCGCCTGTGCTGATGGACATGCTTGCCGACCGCCGCGCAGCTGCAGTTGGCGCCTCTGTCCCTCGCGCTGCCCCCGCCGCGCCGCCCCCCTGTGGCGGCAGCAGCGGGACGCAGTGTGGCACGTTCGGCGCGGACGTCAGCGACGAGCTTGCATCGTCGCTCACCGTTGATGGGGCCACTTCCTCGGGAGCATGCAGGCGCGCGCCGCCGCTGGCCACCGCCAGGCGGAATGCTGGCATGCATTGCGCTTCGAGGAGGGGCGCATCAATTGCGAAGATGAGGAGGACATCGCTCAACCGACTGCAGCGTAGTGGTCCTGGTTGTCGGCCTCGGCAAGGGCGCGGTGCTGGTGGTCGTGGTCGTGATGCTCTTCCTCAGCTTCGCCCTGCAGGTGCAGTGGTTCCACACCGCCGCGTGCCTGCCCAGCGCTCGGCGGCCGAGGGAGTGGCGACGGGCTGGTGTGTGTCTCGCAGGCGCGGGCGCAGCCTGCCCGCTGGCGCGTCCTTCGCGCTCGTCGAGCGCGTGCGCAGCGCGGGTTATCCCACTGCGGCCCCTCTGGCTTCTGGGCCGCTTTGGTGGCACGCTGGCGTCGAGGGATTGGATGACTCGGCTTTGGCAAGGCCTGAGAGCAGCGGCGGCTTCGGCGAGCACCCTGCCCCTCGGCCTTCTGAAGGTGGTGCTGTTCATCCTCATCGCCTCCCTGATCCTGGTGCGACGTGCAGCACTGCCTGCACCTCCTCGCCTTCTGCTTTCGCGGACCCCTCGATCGTCACGGCGTACTTGCGGGCCAACGAGGCTGCCGTCCTCAGCGGTGGCAGCGAGATGGCCGTTGGCGACATCGACGGCGAGTTCAGCATGCAGGTGGACGGCTCCCGCAACCAGGACGGCGACAGGGCTCTGGCCTCTGATGCCGTGGCGCACGGCGGCTTCGACCTCTCCCCGCACCTCGGCACGGACGACGGCGTGGAGGCGGCTGGGCCCCAGCGCAACGGCGGCAGGAGCCTGGACGACGACGCCCTCCTCACTTCGCCTCCCTCGGGCTCCTGCTCCTGCTCTGGCGGCGGGGGGATCGATGAGGAGGGCGGCGAGGGCGGCGTCGGTGGCGGCTGCGCGCTCCACGGCTCGGAGACGGCGGCGCGCCAGGAGCCCGCGCGTGGGCCCAAGCGGCCCCTGGCTCTGCGCCGCCACGTCTTCGCGGGAACCGTGGCCCTCACGGTCGACCGCGACATTCGGAGGCCGGGCTGGCAGGGCGCCGGCGGCGACGACGCTCCTCCAGCTCCCTCAGCCTCCGAGCTAGAAGCTGGGCGCCTCTGGCTCCGCGACACGTTCGGGCCTGGCTCCCCGTGGAGGGCGTGGGCCAGGCAGGAGCGGCAGCGGAGGCGCGAGGCTCAGCTCCAGCAGTAGGCGGCGGACGCCTTTTTTCTCTCTGGCGAGCGTGCTCCTCGGTGCAGTCAGCCTCGCTTGCCTTGCTTGGCATGCGGCTCCGCGCCGTGCTTGGCGCGCATCGCTAATTTTCTCATCGGCCGCGGCGACACTCCTCGAGCTGTCGTGGTCGCTCGGCGTTCGAGCATGAGGTGGGGAGTGCCTTCGGTGGACTGGGCCTTTTCAGGCTCGGCACGGGGTGGATGGTGGCTCGCGCGGCCGCCTCACCTGACGGCGCACACCCACGCGGCGCGGCGAGCGCGCTGCAACTTGGAGGCCGCTGTTTGCGGAGCCTCCTGGCCGTATTTTGCGGCTCTCGCCTCCTTGGCGGCAGGATCGGCTCGTGCCGCACGGGCTGCCTTGTCATTTAAAAAAGTGGCTCTAATCCGCAATGTTTTATGTACGTCTGTTGCTATAGATTGCGCCTCTCCTGGGGCACGAAACCTAACCTTCCTAGGAGGTCCCAGGAGGTCCCAAGAGGCCAGTAGGTTTCAGGAGGCCCCAGGAGGCCCCAGGCTCATGCACAGAGACGCGCTCGTACTACTGAGGCTCATGCACACTCCAATTCATTCGCAGTTAGATTGATGTCCAGACCGTCACAACTGAAGCCCGTTAATATTCGAAAGCTCTTGCGCCTAGACATTCACGGCGGACAGGTCCATGCGAGTAGATGCACATATGGGGAGCTCCACGCAGTGAATAATTACTTGGACGCCTCCTGCTCCTCCTTCTCCGTCCTCCTCTTTTCTCCTCCCCTCCTGTCGGACGTACTCATACTCACACTTGCTCATACTCAGACTTATTCATACACAGACTTACTCATACTCAGAATTACTCATACTCAGACCTACTCATACTCAGACTTACTCACACTCAGACTTACTCATACACAGACTTACTCATACACAGACTTACTCATACACAGACTTACTCACACCCAGACGTACTCATACACAGACTCACTCATACCCAGACTTATTCATACACAGTATTAGTCATACTCAGACTTACTCATACGCAGACGTACACATACACAGACTTTCTCATACACAGACCTACTCATACCCAGACTTACTCATACACAGACTTACTCATACACAGACTTACTCATACTCTGCACCCCTAAGGGGAGCCGCCAGGGGTGGTTGCACGGGCTCGTTCGCGGCCATTTTGTGGGGATGTCTCAGGCGGTTTGCTTGCTTCTGGGCTCAACACCCTTCGCTTGGAGAGCAGATTGTGAGGATGTCTCAGGCGGGGCGCTGGTTTCAGCACCCCTAAGGGGAGCCGCCAGGGGTTTGCACGGGTTCGTTCGCGGCCATTTGTGGGGATGTCTCAGGCGGTTTGCTTGTTTCTGGGCTCAACATCCTTCGCTTTCGGAGCAGATTTGGAGGATGTCTCGAGCGAGGCGCTCATTTTCACCCCCCAGGTGGGCCAGATTTTGAGGATGTCTCGATCGGTTTGCTTGTTTTGGTGGCCAGGCTCGTGGCCCTAAGGGGAGCCGCCAGGGGTGGTTGCACGGGCTCGTTCGCGGCCATTTTGTGGGGATGTCTCAGGCGGTTTGCTTGTTTCTGGGCTCAACATCCTTCGCTTTCGGAGCAGATTTGGAGGATGTCTCGAGCGAGACGCTCATTTTCACCCCCCAGGTGGGCCAGATTTTGAGGATGTCTCAATCGGTTTGCTTGTTTTGGTGGCCAGGCTCGTGGGCGCAGCACCCCTAAGGGGAGCCGCCCGGGGTGGTTGCACGGGCTCGTTCGCTGCCATTTTGTGGGGATGTCTCAGGCGGTTTGCTTGTTTGTGGGCCCAACATCCTTTGCTTTCGGAGCAGATTTGGAGGATGTCTCGAGCGAGGCGCTCACTTTCACCCCCCAGGTGGGCCAGATTTTGGGGATGTCTCGATCGGTTTGCTTGGTGGCCAGGCTCGCGGGCGCAGATTTTTCTCAGGATGCCACAGGAGGCTCCAACAGGCTCCAGGAGGCCCCAGGAGACCACATGATGTCCCAGGAGGCATCAGGAGGCCACAGAAAGACTCAAGAGGCCACAGGGTGTCCCAAGAGGCTCCAGGAGGCCCCAGGAAACTCCAGAAGGCCTCAGGAAACCACAGGAGGCCCCAGGAGGCAACAGGAAGCGCCAGGAGGCCTCGGAAGGCAACAGGAGGCCCCGAGAGGCCCCAGGAGCAGGAGGCCTCAGAAGGCAACAGGAGTGGCTCCAATCCCATGTGTTTTACGTATGCTCCTATCGATTGGGCCTCACCTGGAGCACGATTCTTTGATGTTCTACGTATGTTTCTATAGATGGTCCTTCTCCTGTGTACACAATCCTAAATGTTTTACTCATGTTCCTATGTATTGGGCCTCTCCTGGGGCACGAGTCCTTGGTGTTTTACGCGTGTTCCTATAGATTGTCCTTCTCCTGCGGCTTTAATCCGCAATGTTTTATGTACGTCTGTTGCTATAGATTGCGCCTCTTCTGGGGCACGAAACCTTCCTTGGAGGTCCCAGGAGGTCCCAAGAGGCTCCTGGAGACCCCAGGAAGCCCCAGTAGGTTTCAGGAGGCCCCAGGAGGCCCCAGGCTCATGCACAGAGACGCGCTCGTACTACTGAGGCTCATGCACACTCCAATTCATTCGCAGTTAGATTGATGTCCAGACCGTCATCTGAAGCCTGTTACTATTCGAAAGCTCTTGCGCCTAGACGTTCACGGCGGACAGGTCCATGCGAGTAGATGCACATATGGGGAGCTCCACGCAGTGAATAATTGATTGTCGGGGCCAAAGAGCGAGCAGTGGGCCAGAAGGTTCTGCATGCCGGGGCCCGAAGAGCGCACGGGGACGTACACAGCTCACAACGCTAAGGATCCCAAGAGCGAGCGGTTGCGTACACAGCTCTTAATTTCAAGGTTCCCAGTGATGAGCGGTCACGTACACAACTCTTCGCACCAAGGCTCTCAAGAGCGAACGGTGACGTACCAGGCTCGTGACGTCGCCAAGGCTTTCAATAGCCAGCGACGACCTGAAGTAGCTCTGACGCCAAGGTCCCCAGGAGCGAACGGTGCCATGAGCCTTCTCAGGCCCCCCAGGAGCGAACGGGCGACCTCCTCAGAGCGGTATTTCCGTTCCCGTGCGAGCCCAGGTAACGGAACGAAGGAGGTACGAGTGACGACGTTCAGGTGGGGCGAAGCCCAGGGGTCCAGGGGAGGGGGCTAGGAGCGCGCACAAGGGGAGGGAAAGAGCGAGGTGCGAGTGATGCCGTTCTGGTATGGCGAAGCTTTCTAGGGAGGGGTCCAGCATAGCACGCCCCCGCCCCCAGACAGCCCCAGAAGCGCATAAGACGGCCCAAGATACTCCCAAGAGGGCTCCAAGACGGCCCAAGAGCGCTCGAAGAGAGCCCAACACTGCCCACGAGCGTTCCAAGATGGCCTCACATGGCATCCGTAGCCATGTTGGCTCATGCGTTTTCTGCTTTACAGAACTTTGGCAGAGCGCATTGTCATCTTGGTAAGTTCTGGGGACATGTACCACAATTTCCGGCCCGCCCCTTTGAACATGTCAGTGGTTCCTGGGTTGCATCTCTCGACGTCGGGGAGCAGGTGCCTCTTCCCGCCGAAGCCAGACGACGACACCGCCGCGTTCTCGCAAAACCAAGGTAAGCACCAGTGTGACCTGGGTAACTGCACCACGTCGGCCGACGGCGAGAGTCTTGCGCCTGGCGAGAGCGAGCTGTCAGAGGTGAGCGAGGATGTGGCCTGCGTTCGCATCGAGCCCACCTCTCAAATCTACAGCGAACCTTCGTCGCCATTTGACAGCATGCTGCTGAAGAGGAAACGCCAGCGTGCTTTGCTGCAGGAGGCGAGCCACGAGAAAGCCGAGGAGCCCGGCGTGATGAAGGCTTGCGATTTCGACGGTTCGAACTACTGTGAGCTCAGCTCGCCGCTCGGCAGCATGCTGGTGAAGGCAAAGCGCCAAAACGCGTTCAACCATGCCTTCCTGTGGCTTTGACTAGTTTGTGGTGCGTGACGGGCATGCTTTCTATGTTTGATGACAGGGTTTAAGTGTCGTCGCCCAGTCTGTGTGAAGTGAAGAGAGATATTTGCCGTAGTTTCAGGCCGGACGAGAGTTCCACGCAGGAATATTGCACGCGGTTCGCTATGGCGTATTCTGACCGTCCAGGTATCCAGCCGTTGTTGCCAATGACCCCTTTTGTCTTCTAGTGCTCCTTGGTTGTCTCGTTATTCCTTCCCCTCTCCGTCCCCCTACTTCTTCCTGTCCCGCTTCCCCTTCCTGCCGTCTCGCATCCCGGGCCGCTTATGTGTTCTTTACATGTACCATCCGCAGTATGGGCGTTGCGGGGTTGTGGGAGGAGGTGGACTGGGAGGTGGAGGAGGACGAGGAGGAGGAGACGGCTGAGACGGGGTGAGAGGACGGGGGCTTTGCAAAGCTTTGGCTACGAGGTCAAAGGCTCTTGCGTGTTTGGATCGACGCCACGTGCTTCCCACTGAAGTCTGACGACTTGGAGGAGGCGCATGCCGTTTGGGCCCCACTACCCCAGGGCCGCCTCGTCCGGATAGTCGCCTGGCACCCGATTGGATGCCGCGTATGTAAATATGTGTGTGAAGTTTCATGGCTCGGAGCTTAACTTCAGGCTGAAAGATTAGACGTTATGCAGCCCGCTCGCGTGTTTGGCTGGAAGCCTCGCGTTTTTGGGTTGTCCTCGTACCCTTGTGCATGCATGGGGACTGTCGTTCGAAGCTTCAAGCTGTAAGACGCGACGTTCTGTTAGCATTGCTGCTTGGAAGCGTAAACCAATTGCCTCAGATGGCATCCGGATTGTCCAAGAGAGCCTCAAGACGTCTCCAGAGGCCCTCAAGAGGGGCCCCCGAGAGGGCCTCAGGAGGCCAACGCCCTAGATGTTATTTGTGTGTTTGATGATTGTTCGGGTTCTCGCTTGTTTGGGCCAAATCACAGCACAAGACGGCCCAAGAGTCCCCCACGATTGCCCCGAGACGGCCCAGAAGGCCACCCAAGGGGGTCGGACACAGTCCAAGAGGGCCCCAAGGCGGCCGAAGAGGGCCCCAAAACGGCCTAGAGGTCCTCCCCAGACAGAGCCCCAAGAGGGCCCCAGGAGGCTCCCAAGAGGGCCCCAAGAGGCCCCCAAGAGAGCCCCAAAATGGCCAGCGCCCCCCGAGGGGCCCCAAGGCTGCTCAAAAGGGCCCCAGGACGGCAGAGGGCCCCACAACGGTCCAAAAGGGCGCCACAAGGGCCCAACACATACCCCCAAGAAGCCCCAGAGACGCCAGATGACACCAGGGCTCCCCAAATAACACCATGAGCACCATGGCTCCCCCAATAGCACCATGGCTCCGACCATCAAGGCTCCACTACGAACGATGGCGTGGAAAGTTCTGACCGCCAAAGCTCCCAGTACGAACGACGGTGTCAAGAACTTTGAACGCCAAGGCTTCCAGTGCGAACGATGACGTGAGCAATTTGAGCGGCAAGGCCCTCAGTACGAATGATGGCGTAAAGAGCTTTGAACGCCAAGGCTCATAGCACGAACGATGACGTAAAAGGCCCCCAAGACGGCCCAAGGACGGCCCAATAGGGGCCCCAAGATTGCCCAAGAGCGCTCCAACACGGCCTCAGTTGGCTCCAAGACGGTCCATGAGGCATTCCAATATGCCCCAAGAGGCCTCCAAGAGGCGTCCCAAATCACCCAACGAGCAACATGCATTTTTGTTTCGATGGTTTCTGAAGGTTTTGGTGGGTTTTCTCCTTGTCAGCTTCCCGACGCCCCAAGGCTGCCCAAGAGGCCCCCGTGATCGCCCAAAGGCGGCCCAAGAGGCCCCCAAGATCGCGCCAAGATGGCCCCAGAGGCCCCCAAGACGGCTCCAAGGCGAATCGAGAGGGCCCCAAGACGGCCCAAGAGGCCCACAAGACGGCTCCCAGAGGGGGCCCAGGCGGGGCACCCGAACGGAGTTCTCAGGCCTTCGTCCCCAAGAGGTCCCCAGGAGGCCCCAAGAGGCCTGCAAGAGGCTCCTACGAGGCCCAGAGATGCGCCCAAGAGGCCCCCAGGAGACGCCAACACGGCCCCCAGGCCTCAAAATTGCTTCCAAGAAGCCTCCGAGACACCTACCACGATAAGGCTCGATTACGACTAATGACGTGGAAAGTTTTGATCGCCAAGGCTCCCAGCACGAACGACGGCGTAAAGAGCTTTGAATGCCGTGGCTCCCAGCGCGAACGATGACGTGAACAGGTTTGAAAGGCAAGGCTCTAAGTACGAACGATGGCGTGAAGAGCTTTGAACGCCAAGGCTCCAATCACGAACGATGACGTCAAAGGCTCTTGACACCAAGGCTCCTGATTGCGAACGGCGCCATGATGACCACTCTCGGGGATGCTCCACGGACCCGCGAGTTCCGTTCCCGTGCCGGCCCAGGTCCAACACGCATTGTTATTTGTGTTATTGCAGGTTGTTTGATGCTGACGAAGCACAGCCCCAAGATGCCCCACCAGACCCCCACGAGAGCCCCGCGCGGCCAGAGCCCCTCCGAGACAATCGAAAAGGGCCCTGGGGACGGTCCAAGAAAGCGCCGAAACGCCTCTAGGGGCTTGCAATATACATCCCGAGAGGGCCCACAGAGGCGAACGTCATTGATTTTTCAACGGCTGTTGCAGGATTTTGGCCTTTTCCGGCTTTCGGACGCTTCAAGACGGCCCCAGAGGAGAGGCCCCAATGATCGCCCCAAGACGACCCAAGAGGCCCCCAAGTCGTCCCAAAGACGGCCGAAGGGTCCCAGGACCGCCCAAGAGGGCTCAAGGACGGGTCAAGAGGGCCCCATGACGGCCACGGGAGCCCAATGAGGGCCCCACGAGGCCCTTAGAAACTTGCCCAAACGGCTCGAAAGGGCCCCAGGGATGGTCCCAAAGGTCCTTGAGATGCCCCAAGAGGCCTGCAAGAGGCTGCCCAAGATGGATGGCACCAAGAAGCACCATTTACTGATGCTGTTTATGGTGTTGAAGGGTTGTTGGGTTCTCGCCTGTGCGGTCCTAGAATGGTTGAAACGGCGCAAGAGGCTTCAAATATCGTCTCAAGACGGCCCACGAGGCCCCCCAAAGGGACCGAAAACTGCCCAAGAGGGCCCCAAGACTACCGAAGAGGGCCCCGAAACGGCCTAGGGGCACCAACACGGCCCCAACAGAGCCCCAGGGAGGGCCCAAACAGGCCCAAAGGGGCTCCCAAGAGGGCCCAAACGGCCTCCAAGAGAGCCCCAAGACGGCCAAAGGCCTCCAAGACGCCCCAAGACGGCCGAGAAAGTCCCCAGGACAGCCCAAGAGGGTTTTTAATCTGCCCAAAAGGGCACCCCCAATACCCTCAAAAAGCCCCAGATGCGCCAAGTAGTCCTTTGGCTCCAAACAGCGAGCGGTGACGTAACAAGCTTTCAATTCGCACGGGATACGCACGGGATCCTCAAGCATCAGGCTGTACACTGTCCGGCCCCGCCGCGGGGGTGAAACGCCGAGCGCGGGCAAGGACGCCTGACGATGAGGAGGGGCGAGGAACCGGAAGGCGGAGGAGGCGAGCGCGCGGCCGTGGGACCTGAGCCTCCGACCCCCGCCGTTACGCGCGCGCGCGCGCCCGCTTGGGGAGGGGGAGGGACAAGTCGAGAACATATGGCCGCGCAGAGGGGCAGCTGATAAGAACCCTGGCGCGGGCGCGGTGCCCATGGGAGGGAGATGTTTTGCAGGCTCCTGGCGGGGGGCGCCATCCCGCCGGAGCACCTCGGACAGGGCGCCACGCCGCAAAACGTTACGACTCCGAGAATCTGGGAAGACGAGGGAGGGAGGGAGGGAAGGGAGGACGGAAGAGGAGGGAGGCGGACAAATGGACAAATTCTGAACACCAAGGTTCCCCAGAGCGCGGTAACGTGACAAACTCTTCACAGCAAGGCCCCCCGAAGCGAGCGACAACGTAAACAGAGAGTGGTCGCCTAACAAACTCTGAACACCAAGGCTCCCAAAAGCGAAGGGTGCCATGAGTCATCTCGTGCACTATTCGGCAACGCTCTTTCCGTTCCCGTGCCGGCCCAGAATCTAACGCGCCCAGTCCAAGTACGGTGGCGGATATCATCCCAAAGCAGTGTTTGCACCTAGGGGTTATTATTTCTACTATGAGGGACTGGGCCGTGTCTTCGGTCTGGCGGCTGTGTTCCCGCCGTCGCCGCCCCCGTCGCCGCCTCGTCGCCGCACTTCGTCTAGCCGTGTCTTCGGTCAGGCGGTTATGCTCCCGCCGTTTCCACCCCGTCGCCGCCCCGTTGTCACACGTCATAGATTACACGCAGCTGTCACAATACATATATATATATATATATACACATCCATATATATACACAGATATATACATAATTACTCATATATATATATATATATATATATATATATATATTCATATATGTAATACATATATGCATATATATACATATGTATATAGAGAGTTTCCTTTCTACAAAAAACTCTTACCCCCCACTGGGATTATCCGTTTCCTTTTTTCGTGTTGCAAGTTACATACGATTCTGCCCCATCGCCCATCCCGAATGTGAGCTCATACCGTCCCAGCCGAGCCGGTATCCGCTCCCCGCCGTCCTCGACTGCACAACATTTCGCAGGCGCGAGTGAGTGTACGACTTCCCGACGTGCTTGAAGTATGTAGGCCCACAGAGGCCCTAGCTTGCGAGCGCGCCCCGCCGAGGTCCTGGACTGATGGAGAGGGGAGGTCCCCCTCAGAGCCCATGGAGGCTCGAAAATAGATACTGTGCGTCCGCATTTTCTGCATTACAACCTACCCGACGGGCTCACTTCCCAGCGAAGGCGTGACGGATTGCGACGCGCGCCCAGCGGAGGCGTGACGGGCTGTGAGGCGCGAGCCGCTCAAGAGCGGCCGTGGCGCTGAACGGTGGTGGAGCGCCACAGGTTGTCGGAGTTGTTCCACAACTCGTGGATCCGCGTGGAGTCGGGAAGGCGCCGACCTTTTCAGGCAAACGTGAAGATTTCGAGGAGTGGACCTCCCCGTTCGAGTCGCACTGCGGGCTGCTGAACTGGACAGCGGGCCTGGAGCGAACCCGAGACGCGGGGGATGCCATCGGGCCAGAGGAACTCGGCGAAGGAGGCTTGCAGATTGAACGATTTCTCTACCACTTGCTGGCCAGCACGACGAAGGGCACTGCGCAGAGAATCGTGGAGTTGTGCTCTCGCGGGGACGGCGATGAGGCAATGCAGAGGCTGCACCGGGAGTGCCGCTCTACTCTCAACGAGGGGCACAGCCAGATGTTGCAACAGATTTGGGCCCCATTGTGGCGGG